GCCACCCCCTGCCATGGGCAGGGACACCTTCCATTATCCCAGGGTTGTCCAAGCCCCATCCAAGCCGGTCTTGGATACTTCCAGGGATGGGGCAGCCACAGCTTCTCTGAGCACTCTGTTCCAGGGCTCCCCACCCTCCTAGGGAAGAATTTCATCCTAATACCCAGGCTAAAGGTACTGTCATCTTTTTACTTCACATCAAATGCTTGGGACTGCTCCTTACGCTCTTTTTTGTCGATCTGTGTTTGTAACGTGCCGTGCTGGAGTCATTTCAGCAGCACCACACTCGTCCTTGCCTCTGCTCAGGTTTTTGGGCAAGTTTCTTGCTCCAGCCCTGGCATTTATCCAGGGGGGATGAATGAGGATCTGTCAGCACAGGAACTGCTGCTGCCGGGCTCCTCCCGAGCCCTCGGCGGGCTGCGGGCGCTCGCTGTGTCACAGGCGCCGACCCCAGCGCTGTTCCTGCTGCCTGTGCCTGCACACGAAGCTTTAACACTTATTACCACCCATCCAACTGGCAAATAAGAGCTAAAGCTCAGATGCTGGGATATCACAGACCCCTCTGTAACCATTTTTCCATTTAAAATGAAGGAAGAGCTGAGCCAGGTGATGCCGGCGCCTTCACCTCACGCCGAGGAGCACGAAAGCTGCTGTTAATTTTACCATGGGCAACCACATCTGCATTAATTGTTTACCACAGCCCGGACAGGTCTTTTATTAATATTAATGAGTAAGAGGGAACAAAAGGCCCCTTTATTTTTAGCCTACTCTAATTGCGTAGTAATTACTCATCTACAAAACAAATGAGCCGAACTCCATTGCCATAGCAACAGCAACTCCGGCCTCCCACTGTACCACATTAACTGGCTATCACTCCTGTAATTTGAAATTGAAGCCTTTTGTACAATAACAGACAATACAGGAGGAAAATTAAACCAAAAACGGGTCTTTGTTTTGCTGCATAATTCAAGTCACAGTAGCAGGAGGGCCTTGCCTGGGGGGCACCTTTCCACTGCTGATCCCACAGGCTGGGGGGATGCTCAGGAGCACAGGGGGGTTATCCAGGTAACAGAAGAGGCATGCAGCCTGCAAACCCCCAGTCCTGTGCAGCCATCCCCTCCTGTGGGAGGCTCTGCACCAGGCAAGCTGCTGCCCAGCCCTGGTGCCTGGGGAGAGCTGGTGGCACCAGCCACGCTGTCGGCAGCTGACACCCCAGTCAGGGTCAGGGCACAGAGTTCTGGGCTCTTTTAACCATCAGGAAATGCTCACAAAGGCCCCAGCTGCGTGAGTTTATTATTTTTAAACAGCTCAGGTTTATATACCTGCAGATCCATTTTGCACTCTCTGGCAACTCCTAACCCACCGTGCTTCTCGAGCTCACACAGAGCCAGATGCACACCAACATCTGCTGCAAGGAAAAACTACTCTGCTCCTCTGGCAGCCTTCTATTTCTGAGAGAAAAGAGGGAGAAAAAACATCACTGTAATTATGTATTTACTTTTAAAGCATTTGGGGAGAGAATCAGCATGAAAATACTGACAGTAGTGTGTCAGTCCAATGTGTGCTGCCTCACAGTTAGCAGTTGTTCCACTAATGGGTAACAGCCTGCAACTGCTGCTGGAGAGGCAAGTCACCCTCAGCTCTGGCAGTATTTTACCTGTGTAGGGATTAAAATGCACAGGACACCATCCTGTGCTTGAAGAGCTCATGCACTGGAGAGCACGTGCTGAAACCGCACTTCAAGCTCTGCAACGACTTGTCTGCATCTTGCAGGGAACAAAGTCTAATTACAATTGCCAACAGCTCTGTCCCCCAGCTTCCGCTGGGAGAAAGGGAATAAAACATGAATAATTGGCTGTGGCAGGGCTTTGGAGGGTACCAAAGTTGTTCCAACCCCCTGCCATGTGCTGGAACACCTTCCACGGTCCCAGGCTGCTCCAAGCTCCTGGACACTTCCAGGGATGGGGCAGCCACATCTTCTCTGGACAACCTGTGCCTCCCCACCCTCACAGAGAAGAATTTCTCCCTAAATAAAACAGCATGATGAGCATTCTGAGGAGCATTTTCCCGTGGAAAATAATTCTCCTGATGGAAAAGACTATTAAAAGTTACTGGCTAAATTCGCCACAGATTAACTTCAACTGCACTTCAGAGGTGGTCACTAATTGCACTGGAGATGATTTATCAAGCGCACAAGATTTTCTATTACAAAATTATTGATTAAAGCTGATGTATTTTAACCTCAATAGACTTCAGCCCAGTGCCCTGTCAAACACTGGCTACTGCGGCCAAGGTCGAGCAGCAAATTGTTTCATATCTACTGAATTTTCTCCCTGGCACTGCAGGAGGAAGCTCAGTCCCTCACAGATCAAAAAAGATCCAAAAGTGGCATCCTACAGTAAAACAAGAACACAGGGTTTCTTCTGCCTGGAGCCTGCTCTGAAAAGGACCTGTGGGATTCCCATCCTGGAGCAGCACAGCACTTCTGAGCCAAACAGAAAAGATGCCTCTTTCATTATTATTATTACTATTATTATTTTAATTTGGGGTAGTAGACAGACAAGTAACTGTAGGGCTCCCAGTATGTCAGTAATAAGGCCAAAAGCACCCCTGGGAATGTGGAGTGGCTCCTCCAGAGCACATTCACCACCTGGGGCTGCTGCGTGCCGAGTCTGGCTGATGGAATTCCTGTTTAAAGCAGGATGATTTCCCTTGCTCCCACCCCTCCCCGAAGCCCCCCCAGTGTGGGGTCCCTGCCTGGCCACCCGCCGTGCTCCCCAGCACGGGCTGCCTCTGCCAGGAGATAAGCAAAGGATAAAATCCAATGCAGCCATTAATTTCCCAATGCATCACCCGCCAGGCTCTGGCACATAATTACTGGCGTTCCAGTGGAGTGAGAAATTCCAGCCCTTGCTGCTCCCAAGTGGTCCACTTGTTAGGTTCTGGCTTTTGAGATTACACAGCCTGGATTAAACTTTATGTACTTTTATAGAGGAAAATAAAAAAGGGAGAGCAATTCCACCAGAGCCACCGTGCCACAAGGGAGTCCTCCCAGCGGGCCGCAGAAATCCTAAATTGGTTCATGGCTGGATCTTTGAAGTGCTCCTCCTGACATCTCCATGAGCCCATGGCAGCTCCTCTCCCCCTGCACACACAGCCCAACCACAGTCCCCCTTTTTATGGCCATTAATTTGCTAAACTATGAGTAGATTAGATTTTGGAGCACCTTCCTTAGGTGTCAGACAAGGTTTCCTCGACCCCGTGCAATTTATCGCTCTGCTGAGTTTCAGGCACGCTCCTCACTTCATCACATTGAACGCTGGGCTCCCTGTTTCCCTGGAAAACCAAGATCCAAAGGGAACCTTAGCCCTGCCTTGGCACACGAGTGCTCAGCTCCCTGGCAGCACCAGGGGCAGCTCAGCTCACCTTGCCCTGTGTCAGCCCCAGTGTTGTTTGCTAGATTTACTCAATGTTCTATTAGAGGTAAGGAGCAGACACAAATCCTTAATTACACTGGAAAGCCCATTCTGGATATTTTATTTCCTTTGAAAGCCCTTGCTGCCTGAAGTGCATTAATGAGTGCGTGGCTCTGCCCAGCAGAGCAGGGAGATGCTCCCACCCAGCACAGCTGGCTTTGGGGATGGCCATGGCATGGGGAGGAGTGACCACACCAGAGAGGAGCTTTTCTGCTCCCATCAGGGTGTTTTCTGACAAGCAGCAAACTGAACAACAAATAAACCAAAGCCTAATTCGGGATCTCAATTACCATCTGTTGGATTTACTGACTGCAGCGCCGTCTCTGCATTTTCCAAGTTTAGCACAGAAACTCAGGCAGGAGGAGCAAAGCCACTGCTGGCTCGTGGCACAGAGGATGAACTTGCCTCGAACTCCTCACGCTGATATTTATGAAATGCTAAATCTTCATTTAAAAATGTTCCCCTTAAGCTGGGTGACATGGCAATGAGTACGACCCATCACTAGCTCGGAGTCTCTGTTGCATAACAAGATTTGAGGTTTATGACCTACAAACAATCGCTCGGTGGCTCAGGACAGGCTGCAGGGAGCCGCTCACACACGGAATTATTGGATTCCCAAATGGAGTGATTTGCGTGTGCCACATCTGCTCTACGACCGCCAACGGATGAGTCTATGGGCTAATATGGACGAGTAACAGGCTGATGGAGAAACCATGATTGTAAAATGATTTGAAAAATATCTTAGGTTCTTTTGGATACAAAATAAAAATAAGAGAATACAGTTAGAGTCAGTGTTTCAGTTCCTAGGGGGGGTTAATTTGAATTAAAAAAAGGTCAGTTTTGCTATCAGCATAAGAGCATGTGCGGGTTCTTGTACGGAGGGTGTAGGTTGCCTACAGCCGGCTTCAATTTAAACTTCCAGATAATGGGATTTAACGAATAGGGCTCTATGGATCCAAGCCATCAGCAGCTCTCTGCTGCGTTATCCCTACGCTTTCAATCAGACCAAGGCTCTGCTTTTATCTGCCACGCTCGTTCGCGTTGATGGTGCCTATAATATCAACTTGACAATGCATGTTCTACAACTACATCTACTGCTACCAGTACGACTACTACAGTGCATGCATTTAGTTCAGTCCCACAGATACATACACTCTAAGAACAGGCAAGGGGAGATGTGAAATGTTTTACGGGACGACAGGTGTTTTGTTTTTTAAGTAAGGGAAATTAATAAAAAACATCAAAAGAAAGAAAGTGTACAAAAAAATAGAGACATTTCTCAAGAGTTGATATGAGTCGTTTCTTGAACCGTTTCGTCCGAACAAGCAAAAAACATGCAACCAGCTGCTACTAACAAGAAGCTGGACACTGAGAGAGGATTAATAGGTGTGGACAAACCTTCCCGCTGAGAGCGCTCAGAAGAGTGTTTGAGAGGAGGTGTGCACGTCCGAGTGTAAGAGAGGCCGGAAAGTTTGCCTCAGAGACACCCTCTCTCACAGCAGCCCCAACCAAGCAAGAGAGAAAACAACAAAACATAACTGCTCACACTCACCATCAAGGTCAGTAGCTCACGTTACGAGATTTGTTATAGCTGGCAAGTATAAAGTCCAGTAAGGGGTTGTTGGGGCGCAGGGCTCAAAGGCAGCACTGGCAAGCCGGGACTGGGGCCCAAAATCCAGATGTGCCAGGGGTTGGGGTGGGGAGCAGCCCCTGGCGCCGTGGCACTGCGCTGTCCCGCTGCACAGCCTGCCCGAGGGAGCTGGGACAGGGCTGGATTAGTGTGGCCTGACGGGTTTTGTCTCCAGTCCTCAGGGAGGAACAGTTGGTAGCAACAGGTTGGGAACTGGAAAAATCTCAGGCTTGTCAATGAACCAAAGAGGAAGGAACGAAAACCCTCTCCTGCCAAATTTTCCTCGTCTCGCTCTCCTGCCGGATGAACCCCTCCCATGTCAAATGCAAGAGAAAAATGTGCCCCCCCCATGACTGTATTTCAAAAAAAGCATTTACACGACAAAAATGTTTTACACGTAAAATATGTCAGGTGGATTCAAAAGAAACGTGACACTGATAGTGAAGTTGTCTAGGAGGAGTTTGCAGCATTCAGACTTTTAACTTTGCTCGTTTTCCGTGGCTCAGGTCCCAATTCATTAAAAAAATACAAGAATGGGTGAGGTTGTCAAAACCAGTGGAGGGATTGGGCAGCGCAGCCCCACCCGGAGCGAATGGATGTGGCCAGACCTGTGTCTGCTGGAAGGACCTCAGCTATCACCTCATCACTGGGACGTCGACTGGGGACGTGATTTATGGCGAGCAGCACGGCCGCGCTCACCCCGCCGGCACGCGAGCAGCGACGCGGGACGTGAATTTACGGTGGCACTGAGCACGGGGACAGGGACACGTCCCTTTCTGCTGGTTGTAGGACAGACCTGCCGTGACACAGAAGAACCTGTTTATCTAGCAAGGTCAGCTGGTGGCACGCTGCCATGGAAAAGGAAGGGGTGAGGGCAGGGAGGAGGCCCTGAGCAGGTACCTGCCCCCAGCAGGCTCCCTGCTGACTCAGCAAACATGCAGGTGGTCCCAAGAGGAGGAATGTCACCCCAGGGACAAACCAAGGTGGTCAGTGCCCGGGGGCTTGGAGTGAGAGGGCTGCAGCTTCCTGGGGAGACCAAGACACGCTCCTGAAGGTGGATGCTCTCTGCGGGTGCTCAGTCTCCGCACTGGCACTGACGCCAGGAAGGTGGGGAAGAGCTGGCAGGATGGGGCCAGAGAGCTGCTGAAGAGGCAGCAGTGATGGGGACATTGATGCCATGGATTGTCATCAATGCTTTCCAGGAACCTCCTGGAGAATGCTTGCCCTGTGCTCTGCTCCAGCAGCCCTGGGCAGAGCTCTCCCAGTGAGCTGGGGGTGGTGGGACACGCCTGCCCGGGTGTTTTTCCCAGCTCTTTCCCATTTCCTGGCAGAGAGGGGCCAGTCAGTGCTGTGCTCTGTGCTTTGGACCAGGCACGCGTGAAGGAGGGCTGTGCAAATTTGTGAAGGGAAAAGGAAAGAAGGAAAAAACCCCAGCCATTTTTCTTGTAATGAATCGGGCCCGTACACTGCAGCGCAAGATCGATCGGACTCCACTGCTCCTGGATACAATTCACTACCATTGCTGATGGAGTGGCAAACCCAGGATGTCCCTTCCAAAACCAGCTCTGGATGGAGATGACTCTACAGAAACCCCCCTTTCCCAGACCACGGCTTGGTGCAGATGTGAGCGGGGCCGGTGACAAACCCACCTTCCTCCTTGAGACCTCGGGGCGGGCGAGGGACGGGGGCTCTTTGGGTTCAGTTTTGGGGTTTTTGCCAGTTTTGTGCATGCAGGCAATTTTGAGGCTTGAAAAGACATTTCCAAACACCATACTGCTCTTTAAACTTGCCAGAAAGGGTGTTGTTAATTTAGGGTTAGATTTAGTTTTGTATTGCAAGTTCAAATCAAAAAACAAAAAAACTGAAAAAACAAATCAGAAAACCCAACAAAAGAGAAACCAAAAAACACTCAAATTAAAGACAAATGATTTTCAGGCACAGAATTGATCAATGCTCAGTTCAGTTGTAATGGGCACCAAAAGCACTCCGATTAAAAAAAATAATAATAATAATAATAATCAGGGAAGCAACGTTAATCCAGCCAAACCCTCTGTGCCTTGCTAAGGGGCAACTCACCAGGTCTGTTTGCACGTAAAACAAAACCTGAAGGGCAAAACATGAGGAAGAGGCAGAAACAATGAGGTCTGTTTTCCTGGAAGCATATGCAAAAGCAATCTTGGGATTTGTTTGGCTTTGGGCTTTTTTTTTTTCTTCCCCTCTTTGGGTTTGTTTTTCCCCCTCCGTGCCAGGGCAGTAGGAGAAGCTGGGAGTTGGGGGATCCCCACAACCAGGCTGGCAAGTCACCCCTTAGGCGCTCTCTACATGCCACAGGATGGAACTGGTACAGAGAGTCCTTTGTAGCCTGCAAGCAGTGCCAGTTTGCATGGAACGGAGTTCTCCTGGTGTCTTTCTCTGGCCTCGTGGCCCCAGGCTCTCGCTCGAGACACGCCGGGGCCTGCGCCCACCTCCTGCTCCCTCACGCACTCGGGGCTTTTCGGGAGAGCCTCCTGAACCCCCGGCACCGCCCGAAAAGCACCGAGAGCCCCCAGCTCAGCCACGAGTGAGCTGGGAGGTGCTGCCAGCCCCGTGTCCCCCGAGGACACGCCGGGACAGGGGACACGGGGCTGGCAGCGGCTCCGGCCCGGCAGCGGCTCCATGGCGGCCTGCTGCGGGAGCGCACGGCTCGCTGAGGGCTGCTCTGAGCTCTGCCACCTGAGCACAGCGCTGATTCGCATCTTCGGCAGAATTTCAACCTAAGGCAGTAACGGCAATTGGCAACGATTTGTTTCTGGTGTTTCCCTCAAGGGGAAAAGAAAAAAGTACGAAGTTTTCAGAAGGACAGAAGAAAAGCTTGGTGGTTCCTCATGGAAGCAGTGGGGTTGGAGCAGGCAGGGATGGTCAAATTCCAGCCGTGTGCTGGTGCCAATGGCACAGGTGATGCCATCCCCTCGCCATGGGGATGCCCCGTGCTGGCCACAGTGGAGGAGGTGACAGCATCTCCAGGCACGGCGGGAGCACCCAGAGCTGCTGCCACCACCTCAACCCAACCCCAGCTTCCTGTGAGAAACCAAAACTTTTTTTCCGAAAACACAAATTGATCTTTTTTTTAGGGCATCTTTTAGAGCCTTGAATTTAAACCAAACAAATAAAGAAACCAACGCAATAAAGGAATAAAGGAAGAAACAAATTGGAATATCTACCCTGGTTTTGGCAGTTCTCACGCCAATCTCCTGCAGGTGCTCCAGCCCCTGTGGCCTCTGCTTGTAGTTTGGGTTTGGGTTGGGATTGATTACTTATTTTTTCTCGATTTTTTTTTTTTTGTTTTGATTGATTGTTTTCAGGTCCCCAGGATAAGTGTGAGGAAAATCAGAGAAATGATGGAGAGCTGCAGCCACACAGAATACCGACAGAGCTTTTACCTGACCCTGCACTCTGAGGGTTTGCTCTTCCACGGGCCCCCCTACCTGATCCTCTTGCTGCTGCCACGGCTGCCGCTGCTACTGGTCCATAAGCCGCTGCTGGAAAACCTGGCCGTGGAGAAAAGGAGAAGGGTAAAGACAGAGGCAGCGGGTACCGCGAGTCCCTGAGGGCCACAGGCACCCGGAGCTCGCCAGCCCGGCTCTCCGTGCCCCCTGGGAACAGCCCAGCCCTGGCCAGGTGCCCGCCGGTGGCACAAATCCCCTTGGCACAGGAGGAACGGGCTCCTGGCCACGGCACGCCGTGCAGCCAAGGAGGACAGGCTGGAGGCACAGCCTGCAGCTCTCGGCTCGTGTCTCCCGCAGGAACGGGGTCAGCCCGCTCTGCAGACAACCAGGGAATTCTCTTCTGGGCTTATTTGCAAGTGATAATAATGTGCTGGGCTACAGACAAAGCAGTAATGGAAAATACGAGGAGGTCCTCGTGTCAAGATCACAAATTTGCTGGGATCAAGCAGAAAAAATTCAATGGAATGTGAGAAAGAGAGAAGGAAAGAAAGAGAGAAAGAGAGAAAGAAAAAGAAAAAGAAAGAAAGAAAGAAAGAAAGAAAGAAAGAAAGAAAGAAAGAAATAGAGAGAGAAAAGGAGAAAGAGAGAAAGAAAGAGAGAAAGAGAGAAAGAGAGAAAGAAAGAAAAAGAAAGAAGGAAGGAAGGAAAAAGCTCTCGAAAGCAAACCAGCCGCAGACCAAGGAGCTCTATGACATCCCCCCTGCTCCAGGGAACCCAGCCCTTGCAGAGGAATGGAATCCTGCCAGCAAGATTGCTGATTTACTTAATTAACATTCAGAAGACCTGCCAGAGATTCTGACTTTCAATATATGTATTTTAAGAGGGCAATGGCAACGTCCAGGCAATCACAAGAACCCCAAGGTCAATGATTCCAGGCAGGTTCCTGGTCCCTGGGAGCTCCAACTGCTCCTGCCAGCCAACAGGACAAGCCTGGGGTGGCCACCACAATGGGACCTGCTCCTTTGTGGGCACCAGGACCATGATCACAGCTGCTTTGCAAGGCTGAGGAACCACAGGAGAACAACTGAGGCACTGAGAAAGAGAAGAGTGAGCCCGAGAGCGAGAGAGCCCAGCACACTACAGCCCACTACCTCCAGCACTATGGCTCAGCTACAGCTCAGCTACCAGGGCAAGGAGCAGAGGACTAGGCTAGAGTAACTTGAAGCTACTTAAAATCAATCAAAAAAAGACATACTTGCATTTAAATACGGTAATAGGGCTGTTGGGGGGAAAAGAACATAGCACAGGTAAATGTAGGCACAGGATCCCAGGGCGGTGCTCCCCGTGCACAGAGAGCAGCACTGCACAGCCAGCCCTGGTGAACCTGTCTGCTGGTAACTGCTACAGCCTCCGTGGAGTGGGATGTGGGGGAAGCACTTCCAGATGTGCTATAACCAGTGTTGAACCTGAGTGTTAAATTCCCTCTCACTGGATGGAGCCATCAACCCTGCGTGGGTCCCCTGACACGTGATTAGGGCTGGAGTGAGAAGACTTTGGTGTTAAAGAATAAAACCGACCTCCAAAGAACAAGGAAAGCATCTGCAGGACAAGGGCTGAGGCTCTGGGGCTTCATTTTCATGCAGAGCCACGTCTGGGCCAAGCTCTGGGCCCTCCCACCGTGGCTCAGGCAGGAGCAGAGCTGGCACTGTCCCCTGTCCCTCCCTGCCCATGGTCCAAGAGCAGTGTCCTCAGCGTTCCCATGGCACCTCCACGACCAGCTGGCCACCCACAGATCTCGCTTGGAGGCTCCAGGGGCTCCCTAAACCATCCATACGGGACTGGAGGAGCTGTGGATTTTCCATGGAGTAAAATGCCTCTGCCAAAACCAATCAAATACCCTTCAAATCACCAAGCATCCCCTGAGAACGGCACAAAAAACAGGGCTGGAAAAGTTTGTTTCTCTTGTTCAGCTGCCAGGGACACTCAGGATCTATTTGAAATGCGGGACAAAAAGTTTTGCCATGCAAAAGAAGAGTGAAATAACAAGGGTGGAGAAGGCGCTCCACGGAAGGAGCCCGAACAAAGGCTCCCTTATTGCATTCCAGTGGACAGATGTGTGAAAAATTAATCCCTCGGCCCCTGCAGAAAGCTTTTATCCCAGTTCTGAGATAAAAGCAGCCGTGCCACACGGCGCTCCAAGAGCTCACTCACAGCGCCATCGCTGCTCGCGCTCCGGGCGGGAACGCCGCGGGCCCGCGAGTGGAGATGGAAACTGGGATTGATTGTCAAGGTTGGCAAAAGCCTCCTCGCTGATACACCCACAGGATGGCTCCAGCACTGCAGGATCCCCACCCAATCCAGCCTGCTGAGAGCAATCCATCTCCTGCTAGAATGCCCTTTGCCAGGCACCACGGCCAGGGGCTGGCTCATGGAGCAGCTTCCCTGTCAGCACTGCTGAGCCACTACTGCTGTGACCTCCCAGCACTGTGCCACCTCCCTGGGGCACCTCTGTGCCACCTCCATGGGGCACCTCTGTGCCTCTCTGCTCCTGACCCCCTCAGCAGAGATGGGCAGCTGACACCATCCTGCTCTGCCTGACAGGGATCCCAGCACGGGGCACTGGGAATGCCTCCCGGAGCTGGAGCAGGGGACAAGGAGAGCTTGTGGCCAGCAGAGTGTGAGAACAAGCCCAGTGCCACTTTTCCCTCAGCAATGCCTGGGAAGAGCAGGCATCTCCAGGAGAGAGCAATGGCATCAGGGACTGCTGCTGTGGGGGAGCAGAGGGGGCTGTGGGGTGTCAGCACCCCTTTTCTCCCTGTACCAGCTGCCAGCCAGCCCCCAGTTCATTTAACAAGCAGCTCGGAGGTAACTGGGTGCCAGGAATGGGTGCCAGGACAGGAGAGTCCTGAAGCCAAGGGGAACACTGATGGCAGCACCTCTGGATCCCACCCTGGACCATGAGGAGTGTGGCCAGCACCAGCCCCACTCCCTCTGAGCCTTCTGAAGTCATCTGAAAAATAAAAAGGGTGGAGGGAGAGCTCAGTTCATTCCTGGTGTTTGCTTAAAGCACTGATTCCTGCTCAAATGGCCCCTGTGCTTTGTGTGCCCACTGCTCCCAGCTGCCCAGAGGAAACAAAGCCCAGAGCCATTGCAAAGGCCAGCAGTGCTCACTTTAAGCACTGCAATTAGAAGGTATTTTACAATAAACGTTTTGCACTGGGCTCACACGCTGTCCAGGAAAGCCCTGAGGATTCACAGCAATTTCATGCTCTCTCATTGCTCAGAATGAGCCAAAACCAGCGTTCCAAGTGCAATTTTTCACAGATAAATTTTCCTGCTTCCTGCATCAATAGTTTCACTTTAAACAGTGAAGCAGTGAGGGAAGATGGACAGATCTGGGTTAAATCCTTTGCCCTGAGGTCCCAGATTCACTCCAGGGCTGTTGTGTTTCCAAGGCACAGGTGAGTTTGGGAGAAGGGGAACCACAGGATGGCACAGCCCCACTGCCTTGCTCTGGGCATTCCAGAGGGAGCCCAGGATTTAGCACATTTCCAGAGGCTTTGTGAATAAATCTGGCAAGCACAATGCTGCCTGAGCAGGGCCAGTCTTCACGGGCTCACCAGATCTCTGCCCTGCTCCATCTCCTGCTCTGGTGGGACCATTCCTTCCTAAATCACCGAGTTCTCCTGCCCTCCAGCCTGGCCTTGGCTACAAGGCAACCACAAGGGAAAAACCCAAGAACCATTTGCACCCTTCCTGCTGCCAGGACCCTCCCTGCCAGGAGCCCCTGCAGCTCTGGCTCTAAGAGAAATCACTGACTCCTTCAGCCCTGCTCTGATCAGCCTTTGAAGACCCCAAATATTTTGCATCCCCAAAGCACACACAGCCCTATCCTCGACAACCAGTCAGACAACAGGAATCAACCCAAAAAAAGGCACAAAGATCACAAAATTAGTCCTTACATCAAAAAACATCATGCAAAGAATTTCCTCTAAACGGCCAAAGCACTTGGGCACCTGAGGATGCATGTTCAGACTTCAGCAATGAGCACAGGGATTTAAAACAAGAAAATGGGAGCTGAGATGCCCAAATCACCACCTGACTTCAGAAAATAGCCAAAATCATGGAACAGGCACAGAGAATTAAATAAAAGCCACCACGAAACTGCCCCTAAGAAGCAACCCCCCTGCTCTGTGCCCATGGGGTGTTTGGAGGGTTCACACACAAGCAGCAGACTGGTCTGTGCAGGGTCTTTTGGGGGTCCCTGTGCTGAGGGCATCGAGCTCAGAGGTTCCTTCACCCCACAACACATCACTCCTTACACCCCTGGTGCTCCCCAGTGGCTGACCTGAACCCCAGCCCTCCAGGAGGGTCACTTGATCTCCCGAGGAAGAAGTGCAAGGGCTGGAATATGAATTCATGTGCAGGCTGAGTGACGAGAGGAGCCGGGGGCTGATCCCCCCTTTTCCAGCAGAGCTCCCAGCAGCTTTGATCAGCCCGAAAAGCGGCACCAGGCTCACAGCTGTCATTTCAGATGGGTTCTCGCTTGCATTATTCTTTCCATTAGGCTGTGTTATCCTCTTTGGAGGATCTTTAGGCTTCATTTCAAAAGTATCAGAGACTCAAAACCATGAAGCAGAAGAGCCTGGTAGTTTTTTTTTGAAGGCAGGCAGGCGTGGGTCCAATTTACCGGGCAAAAATGTCGTCTTTAATGGTGAACACACACAAGGGAAAACTCCATCCCAAAACAATCCCTTTATGTTTAAAACCTTCATCTTCCAGGCTCTCTGTCTCACACTCCCCCTCCCTTTCTATAAGGAAACACAAATGAGAAAGAAAAAAAAAACCTGCTACTACTCCGAGCTTGAGATGAAGAACTCAGTGCTGAATATTTAGAGAAGAACATACACCCAGAGAAATCAAATGTTCCCTAGAACTGATCAAAGATCGGGGTTCTACCACATCATTCACAACTCATTACCACTGTTTAGTAGCAATTAACTCCTTGGGATTTGATTGCAGACTCTATGAAGCTTTCTCAAAGTTTGCAGGCTCTGTGAAGCTTTCTCCATCCTCACCACAGCTGATGGACAGGACCCAGC